AAAGAGATCTTTCCTCTCCTTCTGCGTGTTGCAATGTTATGCTTCACATATAAAAACAGACCATGTAAAGTATTTGCACATCTTTTCTGCACTGGAACAGGCATCAATGATCAGAGCACTGAATCATTTGTATGAGTTTCACCTATATCCCTTTCAGATTGTGACATTCCATTTTTGGATTGGATGCCTTAAACTTGTCTTGGAGTAAATGTCCAATATACCAATACTGAAAGTATCTTTATTTTGATTGCTTCAGAAAACTGTTTTTAGCTTCTTTTTGCTATTGTTATATCAGGGAATGCAAACAATCTCGCGATATTTTCAAAGTCAAAACTCTGGCTCTCTCATACAGATAGAACATGCTAGCACTACTAATCTTAGCGAATCATCCTCCTTGTCAGGTAACAGATTCACCAGCCAATGTATTTTTTTTCCATTAACTTCCCATTTTTTACTCTCTCGTCTCATTTTTTACATGATCGTGGTTGATTGAACATAGTGTTTGAGATATTAATTTTTTTTTTTTTGGTTTCCCACCTGGTGTCCGGTACCCGCATTGGAGCCCGACTATATCCGGATTTGCGCCGCGTAGGGCCCCATTCGGGGAGAAGCGCTCCCTACCAAGGATTTTTCCATACCCAGGGCTCGAATTTGAGACCTCTGGTTAAGGGAAGAGCAGCCCCATCCGCTGCACCACATCCTTTGGTGGTGTTTGAGATATTAATTTGACTTGGTGGTAAAGGGAAATATTAAAGTAATAGTTGGATAATTAGATTAAAATGAGCATATCACATCAAAATTTAAACTGAACAATTATATGATTAAAAGTTGCACTCTCTCTGTTACATGACATTTTCATTTTTTGACGTTAAAAATCTTTCACATTGTTCCATATATATATTCACATTTTTTCAAGAATTCATATATTTAAATTATTTAACCTTCAACTTTGATGTGATGCCTATGTATCAAACTAACTTTTCAACCATTGCTTTGATATTTTTCTTTCATCATCACAAATAATAATATATAACTCAACCTAATGTCTTAAAATTCATGTCCAGTTAAATACCATCATGTAAGATGAAAGGGAGCAAATATAAGACAGAATTATTTGTGAAATGGTATTAAATATTTTGCGACATCCTAAAATAGAAGAAGGATGTCATAAATTTAGAGCAGGGAGTATTGGGTTTCTTCCTTATTTTGTATTTATTTGTATTGCGCAGGCCCTCATGGTGAACAACCTCAAGAAAATTCACTTACAAGGGGTGAGTCCAGTGTCGATGCACGTCTTTGCAGCCAGTTTAAAAGACCTGCCTGGAGTTACGACATTGATGAGATTGACCAGGATGTCTTGAAGGAGTTACCAAAACAAATTCAAGAAGAGGTACATGCATGGCTCAGGCCTCAGAAGCGATCTAATACAGTGAAAAGGGATTTAGGTATTACTCGTTATTTCTTACCTTCAAAGGATAAATAGATGCCAACAAACAATTCCTGTAAAGAGGTGGATAACGTCAGAGGCTTATCTGGAGCTTCGTGCCCAGATTGAGCTGGATCCTATTGAATCAGGAGACCATCTTAACAAGTTGGTTAGTCATTATACTCGGTCTTGACATGCTATATCCTATTGTTGTTGAATATTCATTAGTTCTTGGGATTGCTAAGTGCAGAAGTCTCTACTTCTTTGAGATCAGGATGAAGAAGCATGTCCGTTAATATCACGGAGTGTAATGTTATTCAGAGCGTAATATTTGTGTACCTATTAGGTTAGTCATTATATTCAGTCTTGACCGCAAACTGTTGTTAAATACCTATTAGGTCAGTCATTATAATGTTATTCAGAGCGTAATATCATACTGTTGTTAAATAGTCCTTTGTTCTTGGGGATTGGCGAGCACAGAAGTCACTACTTCGAGATCAACATGAAGAAGCTGCCGGCTATATCAATTGTCTAATTTTATTCAGTGTAATACGTGTTAGGTTGCTATAGGCTGTGTTTTGCTCTAAGGATTGGCATGTATATTCTTGAAAATGAATAAATGTAAATATTATTATGTCATGTCTTATATGGACAAGTTTGCGGTCTATTCCCTTCTGTTCTGGAAAATGGGATACGTTCTTTCATTTATTTATCTTCTTCTTGAGTTATGAGCTTTGTAGCGAATGCTTCTTATAACAGATATTTGAAGGCTTGATTTTGTTGCTCGTATATTTTGTTTTTTAGCTAATGTGCAGATTAAAAGAAAAAGAAGTCTACATGATATCCTCAGCGGGGGGAATGTTGGCCCACATTTGGAGGCGGAGCCGGAATTTGAAGTTTATGGCTTCTAAACTTGTTGTTGAACCCATAGCTCGTTATACTGGGTTTACAATTGAATATTTACACATATTTAATGGATTTCCTAATATATATATAAGGTCTAAGCAAAAGTTAGTGGTTTCATTCGAACCCGTAACTTATACTCTCTCTCCGACTCTGCCCAGATTCCATCAAAGATTATTGTCAATAAAACTTTAAGCTATAGCTTTAAAGAGCATCAAGCTTGACTCCTTTTTCATTTGCTTATAATTTGTCATTGAAATAATTGAAAATGAAGGAAGTGACTATTTATATTGTAATATTAGGGTAAACAAATGCAATTTGAACTGATCTCTTGACATTGGGGTGCAACCTGCATCTATATCATATAGTTTTTCTGTTAAAATCACCAAAGAAATTGAAATTACCTGGAAGAAAGAAGGAAAACGAAAAAAGAAAAAAAGAAGTTATTGGACCACGGGAGAAAAAAAACGTTGCACTTGAGGGCAAGGACAACGTAATTCTCAAACGGGTGCTGAACTTGTGATGTCTTTGCAAATGGCGAGCATGTGTTGGGATTTATTCGACGAGGGCGTCGAATTCAACTAGTTGGGGTGGTTTGTTAGACCCTTAACAAAGCTGATCGGCAAGCGGCACGGCAGTGGCGAGGATTTGGCATGATGGCCTTGTCATTGGCCTATGTGCGGGGAAATCAACATGCAAGACAATGCGGGTGTTGTCGATGTCAACATACTGTTGCAAGGGCAAGTGTGACGGACTACACTTCGATTTGAGGGCTACGGTGTGACGGACTACACCAAAACATGAGTGGGATGCGTGCAAGCAAAGTCCAAGACCTTGACGGAACTAGGCGGGCTGAACGGAAGCTTGACAAGGCAAAACGGGAAATACCTCGGCGCTAAAATGGGGCAGCTTAGTGCCAAGGCAGTGGCATTAGCAATATGATGTTGCCATGACTTAGGTGAGCGGGCTGGCACCTAAGGAACTTGTGGGCAAACGACTTAGCAAAGGGAATCGCATCATGGCTTGGTGACTTGATGCTGAAAATCAGATGGCATTGGCAAAAGGGCAGACTTGATCAAGTAGAGGCGACTTGACATGACCAAGCGATTGTGGCAGCGGACGTACGTGAGGCTAAGTCATGGGCGACGAGCTGTGGCGATGGCATTGAGCGGGAGCAGTGTCAAAGGCCAAGGCTGGGCGCAAAGCCAGCCTTGGGCGTGAAGCAGTTGGCTAAGAAACGCGCACATGCAACGCACATGGAGTGGTTTTCAAGTGTGTTGTGCACATGCCATGTAGTTGGGCGGTTACAGCTGCCTTTGTCCAAGAGTTGCTGATTATAGGCTAAGTCTATGCACGTTTTAGGCATGTTCTAGGCATGACATGCATGTTTTGATCATGGGGATCATGTCTTATCAGTTGGGGGATGTCAACTGAAAATAGGAAACAATTTTGGGCTGACTACACTATATAAATGTATGTTAGCAACCCCAAAAACGGGCTAAGTACCTAGGGAGGGAAATTAGCAAAGATGTAGGCATAAGGTTGTCTATGTCAAGGCTTGATCATGGCAAAATATGTGTCATTGCCTTGCCAAACGAGTGGCAGCATGGAATGCCTTAGCCAGGGGCTTTTATAGGGCAGATTCATGCAAGTGTCAGCTATTTTTGTGAGTTGGTGTCTGCCAAGGGTGGCAGCACCTTGCCAAACTCGAGAATTTCCTTTGTAATTGATTTTATAAAAGGTTGGGAAAGGGTTCCCGTAAATCTGCTTGTGTCCTTCTATATTTACATTGCCTTAGATTGATTCTAAGTGTTAAACCTCGAAAGCAAAAGAAAATCGGGCAAGGCTGAAGTCAAGTGGGGACTTGACTGCCGCACAGCGGGCAGCATTTTCGGCGGACAGAAAACGCCCATATATATATATATAATCACAGAGAGAGGGGTCTTTAAATGATTAAACCAATCTATGAACATAGTCCGATTCCCTTCTCTTCCAGGAATGCAAAACCAAAAACCAGAGGAAACTGGGAAATATAAGAACTCTCATGAAGTAGGGAGAATTACTATCCTATATGAGAATAATTGGATTTCGGAAGATGAGAATAATTAGCAGTACATATATTATTTGCAGTGATACTTCAATATCAACTTTTGAACTACTTGCCCATCATCCAAAGCCAAGATTCCAACATATAATACTAAATAAAAATGAGCAACTAACAATTGAGAAACTAAAAACAACCCGCCACCAAAAAATAATGTCATGGGGCAAAATAAACTAATTAGAAAAGGTCAATAAGCATTACTCACCAAAACCAAAAGCTTAATTCTGAAGGTTCATATCAGATTAAAATTTGTTCAGTGATTAAGAACACCTTTACCCAAATTCCAATATCTACATAGGTTACATCCAACAATCATTCATCATCACTTGTATCAGAATCGCGCAGCCATAGCATAAAAGCCATTGCTTCGGCAAATTCTTCCAAGTCTCCATCCCTATAGTCCTCAAACAAAGCTCTGAAGCTTTCCATATCTCCATCAGAGCCGCTTTCCGTTTCATCTGCGTCTAAGAAGCTTGAGCCACGTAAGTCGGGCATGAGGGTAGAATTCCATAGCTTTGAGCCTGGCTTGACAGTGTGCTGTAAGACAACAAAGAGGTTTTCTGTAAAACGACTCATATAAGTCAACCACGCCCTTTAAGGTTAGTTGATGAGAAATTAAGGAAATTCCCAGAATATTATAAAGAACATATTTAAGTAGCTACACAGTAAATGATTCGCACCAAAGGCATATGACAATAAGCTTATCTATCGCACATAGGACTTCCGAAATTCACTTCCTTGGTAGCAGACACCACAAAGTGTAAAAACAACACACACACACACACAATATCCATGAGCAGGGAAACATGTATTAGAACTGCCATGCCACTCAATATACACATACTGTGACTATTTGTCGTCTAAAAGTTCACCTGGTCAAAGCGTGAAGTAGACTGTAAAGGTCAATTTTACAGTATATAGAAGTTTTACTGGAGTTTGGATTCCTTGAAAAGAAGAAGCACAAATCTGTGATAATTAAATCGGAGAAGGTCCAAATATACCCCTCAACAATGTAAAATGGTTCATATTTGCCCTCCTTTAATAGTTGGGGGCAAATATAGCCTTGCCGTTACTAAAATGGGTCATATTTACCCTTAATTTCAAACGGAAAAAATTATTAGGAGCTAAATATCACCAAGTTTTGCCACGTCCACTTTTATCTTATTTTAAAGTATTTTTTAATAATAGATCATCTCCTTCACCATCCGAAAATTCTCTTAGAAAAACCAATTCCCAAGCTCAATCACCATTTTCCAAAATTAATTTATTTCACTATGTAAAACCATTCTCATCAAAACCCACCAATCTGTTTTCTTTCCCTTCATCCATCATTTCAAATTCCACCATTTTCATGACCAAATCTATATATTCCAATCCAAAGAAAATCCAAACTGCTAATGATGGTAGATTGCAATTTAGTACTCAATCAACTAGTGTTTACCAAAGACTGCAATATTTTTGGTTATGAAAATGGTGGAATTTGGTCATCTAATATAATCACTCTACAGCTCACCAAACCCACCATTCTGTTTTCCTTTTTCTTCATCCCATCATCTCAAAATCCACAAATTTCATAACCAAAGTTTTATTCCAATTTTAGGGGGGGAGGTACTTGCCAGGTGCGATTCTTTTGCCCATGCAAATCTGTCTCTAAGGGCGATTCTGGTAACACGATAGCATGATTATTTTTCAGATTCGTGCAAACAGTAGCAAATTATTTTTTAGACTTGGTCGATTTTTTTGACTGGAAAAGGAGAAATTAGTGTTAAGAGAGGCATAGCCATTAAAGGAGCCATAGAGAAAGGAAGCAGAGGAAGGAAGAAGAGAGTGAATGAGCTGAGTATGGGAAATATCGAATCTCATTTCTCATGTATTGTACATGTGTATATTTATACAACACTTAATCACCTAATAATATATTAGCTGTTGACAGTTGTACATATGACCCACTAACTAACTTCTAACAACCTAACTAACTTCTACACTATACATTCTTCTCAACACTCTTCCTCAAGCTAAGGGATGGAAGAGGTTCTTCATTCCCAGCTTGCTAATCAAATACTCATGTTGTGGTTTGCATAGACTCGTGGTGAGTAGATCAGCAGGTTGTTCTTTAGTCCCTATGTGTTGTGTTTGAATTTGACCACTCTGAATTTTCTCCCTTACAAAGTGACAATCAATATCAAAGTGTTTTGTTCTTTCATGGAATATGGGATGTGTTGCAATCTGTATAGCAGCCTTACTATCATAGAACAGCTGCACAGGATTGGTTACTGCAATTCCAAGCTCTCCAAATAAACCAACTAGCCAAGTGACTTCAGCAACAGTAGCTGCCATATTCCTGAATTCTGATTCTGCTGAGCTCCTGGAAACTATGCTTTGTTTTTTAGACTTCCAGGAAATTACAGCTTCACCAAACTTGACTATATAACCAGTGATGGATTTCCTTGTTTCCACACACAAACACCAGTCTGAATCACAATAGACAACTAGTTCCTTATTACCTTTTGCTGGCATAAACATGCCCAAGCCTGCAGTTCCCTTGATGTGCTTGACTACTCTTATAGCTGCTTCCAAATGTGATTGCTTAGGGGCATGCATATGTTGACTCAGTACTTGAACAACAAAGGCAATGTCTGGCCTTGTCATTGTCAGGTACAGCAGTCTGCCAACAAGTTTTTGATAGCTTCCTGGGTCCTCAAGTTGTACATCTGTAGAGGCTTCCCCTTTGTTCATAAATTCATCAAATGCTACTGAGGTGAGTTTATGATTAAACTCAAGAGGTGTAGCAACAGGCTTACTGCCAGCCAATCCCATCTCAGACACAAGCTCAAGAGCATATTTCCTTTGATTCATCAGAATGCCTTCCTTAGATCTACAGAAATCAATTCCCAAAAAGAACTTTAATTCTCCCAAGTCCTTCATTTTAAATCTAGCCTGCAAGTCTGTTCTCACTTGATAAATGAGCTTCACATTGTTCCCAGTGACCAATAGGTCATCAACATACACTAAGATTACTATTAGATCACCACCTACCCTTTGTGTGAAGAGTGAGTAATCATAATGAGATTGAACAAATCCCATATCCTTGAGAGCAGAAGTCAGCTTCAGGGAGTCTGCTTGAGTCCATACAAGGACTTATGCAATCTGCATACTTTCATCTGATGACACTCCCCATGGCTGGCAAAGCCATCTGGGATTTGCATATAAACTTCCTCAAGAAGGTCTCCTTGGAGGAAAGCATTGTGCACATCCATTTGAAAAATGAACCATCCCGATGCTGCAGCGAAAGCCACCACAAACCTTACTGTCACCATTTTGGCCACAGGAGAAAAGGTCTCTTTGTAATTCAACCCTTCAAGCTGACTATACCCCTTAGCAACCAGTCGAGCCTTATACCTCTCCACCTCCCCATTGGACTTATATTTGACTTTGAACACCCACTTACAGCCAATAGGAGACTTGCCAGGAGGCAGATCAACAATGGACCATGTCTGATTTTCCTCAAGAGCTGCAATTTCAGCCTGCATGGCTTCTATCCACTTAGGATCAGTGCTGGCCTCAACATAGGAAGTAGGTTCAGACACAGCAGGATATATAGCAATACAAGTCTGATAGGCAAGAGACAGCTTGTCATAACAGACATACTGGGAAATGGAATAATTGCAAACTGCTCCTTTAGAGGGGACAACATAGTCTTTTAACCATACAGGAGGAACAGAGGTCTGAGGGGACAACATAGTCTTTTAACCATACAGGAGGAACAGAGGTCCTGGATGATTTTCTAATAGGATGAGGAGGAGCAATAGGAGAAGGACTTGATAATGAAGGGTAAGAAGATGGTTGAGGAGAATCAACTGATGAACCTGAAGTAAAAGAAGGAGAGCCAGATGGAGGAGGTCCAGGAGAAGGGATGAACTGAGGAGGTGAACAATCAGGTTCTATCAAATCCAAAATAGGAAATAGAGTGGAAGAGCCAGAGAGGTCATGCTTAAAAGGGAAGATATCCTCCTGGAAAACAGTATCCCTGCTTACAAAGAATGATTTAGAGTGAAGACCATAGAGAATGTATCCCTCTTGCACAGAGGAATAGCCAAGATGGACAACAGGAATAGCTCTGGGACTAAACTTATCAGATTTACTAGTAGAGGTGGCATAACAGAGACTTCCAAAGACTTTCAAGTGCTGGAGAGAGGGGACCTTACCATAAAGTTTCTCAAATGGGGAGGCTCCTTTCAACAAAACAGTAGGCAATCTATTCAAAAGATAGACTGCTGTGGAAACACACTCACACCAGAAGTGGAGTGGAATAAAGGCTTGAAATCTCAAAGCCCTTGCCATGTTAAGAATAGACATGTGCTTTCTCTCAACTTTACCATTCCGCTGATGTGTGTACATACAGGAACTCTGATGAATGATTCCATGCAACAACAGGAGACTAGTTACCTGCTCATTGAAGAACTCAGTACCATTGTCAGACCTGAGACACTTAACCTTGTTATCAAATTGAGTCTGAACTAGTGCTAAAAACATTTTCAGCACAACAGATTTTGCCTTTGTGTTCATTAAGAAAATCCAGGTATACTTAGAAAAGTCATCCACCAATGTCATAAAGTACCTTTTACCATTATGAGTTGGGACCTTGTATGGACCCCATACATCAGCATGTACAAGTTCAAAAGGAAGGTAGAACTAGAGATGCTGTGAGGAAATGGCAGTCTAGATTGCCTAGCAATAGGACAAACAGTACAATGATGATCTTGCATAGGAATGTAAGGTAAACTACTAATTTTCTGTAGAACTTTTAGAGATGCATGTCCCAATCTCTTGTGCCATAGAGACACTACAATTCTTAGTAGGCTTACAAGAAACTATCGTATTGGAACTAGAGATATTATTTGCAGAAGATGCTAGCTTGTTATTATGCTTTGCATTCAGCTGCTATACTGGTCCTTCAGGAATATCTGGCTTCAGGATGCAAAGTCCACATTCTTCCTTACCAATCCCCATTACCTTCCCACTCAAGAGATCCTGAAAAAGACAGAAATCAGGAAAGAAAGCAACAAGACATCTTAACTCCTTTGTAAGCTTTGAGACTGAAAGCAAGTTGTATTTGAAGTCTAGAATGTATAATACATTCTGTAATGATTTAGTTTTGAAGATTGTGGAGACTCCTGAGTAACTGATAGCAATCTGCTCACCATTAGGAAGGTGAACCTTGTTATGGTCTATACTAGTCAGATCTTTGATTTCACTTAGTAGTTTGGAATTGTGCACCATATGGTTGGAGGCCCCTATATCTACTATCCAGTTACCATTAACTAGATGAGACATGAAGGCTCTTATAGTACCTGTGTTATTCATAGTTGCTGCATTAGCCACTGATTCTACCTGCTTTCCTTTGTTCAGCATATGCAATATCTGATCATATTGTTCTTGAGTAAACACTGGAGCAGGGGAAAACTGAGGAGTAGGTTGTGGAGATGGTCGTGGAATAGGCTGAGGAAGGTCAGGAGATTGAAATCCTCTGGCAGTAAATGTATTGTTCACCTGAGGGCCTGAACAACCTCTTTCTCTTGGCCTTGAAATCAGTAGGGTATCCATGAGCAGGTGTCCTTGGTATGACCTTTCAAGTGACAATAGTCACATTGTAGTGTAGATCTCCCAAGACTGTTTCTAGATTTGAAGTTGCTATTTCCATTTCCTGCATTAGTTTTACTCATCAGTGTTGTAGAATCACTAATGCCAACACTTAGAGCTGCACTGTTTTTCCTTTTGACTCTCAACATTAACTACCATAGCATAAGCCTGATTGACATTTGGAAGTGGCCGAATCATAAGAATCTGATCTTTAGCATTGTCAAATGAATCATTTAAACCAATAAAAAACTGATACAATTTCTGTAGTTGGTAATGTTCTACATGTTGCTTTGATTCAGGGCATCCACACGAAGGAGGAGGAGCTAAAGCTTCATACTCATCCCATAACTCTCTAAGTTTTGAGAAATACTCTGACATTATTTTGAGTCAATTTTGCAATTTCCTTGTGAAGATAAAACGATCTAGCAGCATTCACCTTATCAAATCTTTCACGAATGTCTTCCAAGACCTTGTAATCTTAGTAGATTAGGTGCTACAGTGTTCATTATCCAAGCTAAAACGATAGCATTACATCGATCCCAAAGTTCATGAAGACTTGGATCATAAAGCTCCATTCTACAGGTTCCTAGCACAAAACCTAAAACCTAACTTGTTTTTGCCATGCAACACAATTTTCATAGATCTACTCCAAAGAGAGTAGTTTTCAGATCCTCGAAGCTGAATCGAGATGAGAACAGTACCTTGAGTATCAGAAGGATGAATATACAAAGGATGATTGTGATGAACTAAGTCAATATTCTGAGTATCAAATGTAGGTGATGTAACAGTAGCCGACGCCGACTCATTTTCATTAATCGCCATATTAATTTTGTCGACTTGGAGATTGAGGAGAGTTACTTACTCAAATTGTTGTGAAATTCAGGAAGAAATTGGTGAATTGCTCAGAAATCAACAAACCCTAACTAGAAGGGGAGATCGTATTTTCAGCTGCAACTTGAACCAGATGAGAAAAAAAAAAACAATCCTCAATTGTACCTTCTCCTTACTCGTTTGCCATTGTTGAACCCATCGGAATTAAGCCCAGCTCTGATACTATGTTAAGAGAGGCATAGCCATTAAAGGAGCCACAGAGAAAGGAAGCAGAGGAAGGAAGAAGAGAGTGAATGAGCTGAGTATGGGAAATATCGAATCTCATTTCTCATGTACTGTACATGTGTATATTTATACAACACTTAATCACCTAATAATATATTAGTAGTTGACAGCTGTACATATGGCCCACTAACTAACTTCTAATAACCTAACTAACTTCTACACTATACATTCTTCTCAACAATTAGCAATAGTAAAGGTGTTAAAAGGAGTGGTAAGAATTTAAGGCTATGAAAGAAGAAGTTTGGGTTTGAACGGGGATGAATGCTTGAAAACTCTTACCTCGTTGTTATTGACCAGAAGTTCTTTTTCTCTTTTTTTTGATTCTTTTCAGATGGGGAAGAGAGTAATGGGGAGACAATGACGAAGGATTTTGGCTTAAGTTTTATCCACGTCAGCAGCAAACTATGCTTATCAGACTAATTAAAGATAACCAGTCCTTAGTAATTTTTCCTTTGAGATAAGGGTAGATATGACCCATTTTAGTAACGGCAAGGACATATTTGGCCCCAACTACTAACGGAGGGAAAATGTGAACCATTTTAAAAAGTTCAGGGGTATATTTGAACCTTTTCCGTAATTAAATTGATGAAAATAATTAGCGAAAAAGAAGCAGGGAAAGGCATCTGCTTAGGCAGGTGCTTATACTTTTGTAAAGAGCAATTATCCAAAAAATACTTTTGTATGGAGCAAATAATAAGTGAAAAACTAAATTACTAATTCTGATATAGCCCGCTTTCTACTAAAGTTTGAATTGGCACAAGTATGAAACACTCTTGATTTTATATGAATAACCAAAGAAAATACTCCCTCTGTTTCTTCTCCTTTTTAATATTGGAGAAATCCCCTGTGAGCTTATAGCCAACTCCAATTAGGCCACAGGTCCAAAGTCTGAGGAGTATGAGGAGTATGAGCCTGTGCCTCTACTAGTCTTTATCCAGGGAAGGGTTCAAGACCTTGACGAGCGCATCCTCACCACTGAACCAAAGCTCTGGGACAACTCCCTCCATTTCATCTTCATTTTTACTCATTTTTAGACTGTTCCAAAACATTGATAACACTCTATATTTGGGAACTTTTTAGTCATACCATTCCTATTTTGCCCTTAATTACTCTCTCTTATAGAAATGGCATAACATGTTCCAGACCATAGAATTCGTCAGATATTTTTGGTATATTATACATAATTAGCTCATGTCTAAATCATGTAAAGTCTTTCTTCCATTTTTAAACAATTAACGAGTCAAATACCGCTATATAATATAAAAAAGGGGGTAATAAGCTAGAAGTTAGAAATTACCTGATGAAGAAATTCATTTAAGTTCTGAGTAGTTAAATAAATTTCATATTTTGGATTCTTGATAAAGGTTCACAGATACTACTTGTAGCATATTATGTCAAACATCATTCAACAAATCTGTCACATAAATTTCGATGAAAGGAACAGTAGATAACAAATAGAGCCTACACAAACTAACATAAATTGTTATCTTATTAATCATATGTTATCCTCAGCTAACCAAAAACAAGTTCCATATTCTATTTTATTTCCTCACTTACCTTTGTATTATCTTCCTCCGCGTGTCTTTGGGAGCACATGTTTTGTTCATAACCTTAAATCCTCATGCACTTAGCTTTAAATGCGTTTTTCTGTGTTACTCGAGGGCGCAAAAGGAATATCGATGTAATTCAACTGACCTCCAGCGGTGTATTATATCTGCTGATGTTACCTTTTCTGAAAACCAACCATACTTAACAGGTTCAAGTGATCACTTAGATATTTCTGAGGTATTACCAATTCCATCTTTTAGAGATTCAACCACTAAGCCTCCTTCACCTTCCTCCGTAACTCCATCACCTACAACTCCAGTTTCATGACTTATAGCTCCAGTTCCACAACTTAATGCCCAAGTTCCCACCTATAGCTCCAACAGCTCCCGTTCAACCTTCTACAGCTCCACCATTCTTGACTAATCAACACTGTTAGTGTCCAACATCAAGACGTCATGTCCTAATGTGGACTTGTCTCCTCCTAGTCCTTCAATTGCACTCCGAAAAAGTATTTGATCCACTCATAATCCCAATTCTCATTATAGATGTTTGAGTTATCATTGTTTATCATCAAGCCATCATGCTCCTGTATCATCTTTATCCTTAATTTCTATCTTTAAGCGCTATGTCACCCTGGATGGCAACAGACTATGATCGAAGAGATATTTGTTTTACATGCTAGTGTATTCGATAACTTGTTCATCTACCTCTAGGTAAATCCTATGTTACGCAGACTCTCCAAAACAGATGTCGCACCCGACATGCACCCATCTATATTTTCGGAGAGTCCGAGCAACATAGGGTAAATCTATGGTCTGATGATGGGTGTATGCAGTCAAAGTTGGTCCAGATGGTCAAATTGATCGACTTAAAGTCCACCTTGTTGCCAAATGGTATACTCAGATATTTGGGTTGGATTACAGTGATAATTTTCCTCGTGGCTAAAAAAGCATATTTCCGTCTCTTTAAATCTAGGGCAGTTGTTTGGTGTCTTTAATAGTTGGACATTAAGAATGCTTTTCTCTGTGGTGATCTTGAGGATGTGCATATATGAAACAACCACCTGTTTCCTTAAAAAATATTAAGAACGCTTTGCTATTACTTGATTAATTAAGATGGCTTCCTTAAAAAATATTTTTGGTAAAAATAAGAATAAGGGAAAATCCTCATGTTGTTCCTCCTTCCCTGCCCCCAGCTCCCCGAACCAAACCACATATCTCTTTACAATATTTTTGTCTTTAAATTTGAATTAAAAAATTTAGGTCACAATGCTATAACAAATTTTCAAGGCATTGCCTTAGATATTTTTTTAACATCTTTTTCTCTCTAATTTCTATTTAATTTTTTTTTAAAAGCAATATTCAGTCGTTGGGCCTGCTTAGCCCATTTAGCCCGGGACCATGAGTTCATAGGCCCGGCCCGGGCCGATTCCCCCAAAAAGACCGTTTAGCCCGGGACCGATAGGCCCGTTTAATTAAGGACCGCCCCGGGATCGTTTGGACTGGCCCACTTGGCTCGTTTAGGGACCGGACCGGCCCACATGCCACCCTACTTGCAGAGAGACTAATCATTCAGTATACTATCGATATATTGTTCTAAATCTGTGCATTTATTTGGTATTTTATGTTGATGATATAGTGATTACGGGCAATGATCAAGATGGTATAATTGAATTGAAGCAGTATCTCTTTTAGCACTACCAGACGAAGGACCTGGGCAGATTGAAGTATTTCCTACACATTGAGGTCACTCGGTCCAAATCAAGAATTGTTATCTCACAGCATGTGTGCGCCCTAGACATTCTTGAGAAAACAAGTATGACAAGCTATAGACTAGTTGATACTCCTATGGACCCGAATCTCAAGCTTTTGTCATGACAGGGGAGCCCTTTAGTGATCCTGGAGGGTGTAAGTGGCTGGTTGGTAAGTCGAACTATCTTATAATGACTCGGCCCTATATCGCTTTTCCTGTGAGTATTGTAAGTCAATTTATGGAGTCTTCATTTGATAATTATTGGGATACACTTGTTCGTATTCTTCGATATATAGAATTAGCCCCAAGCAAAAGATTGCTTTTTAAGGATCGACACCATGAGCAAATTGCTGGACACACAGACGCTAATTGGGCAAGATCACCCTTTGATAAGCGGTCTACATCTAGATATTATGTCCCGGTAAGAGGTAATTAGGTACTTTGGAAGAACAAGAAACAAAATGTGATCGTCCGATCGAGTGCAGAAACACAATACTAAGCAATGGTTGTGGCAACTTGCGAACTAATTTGGATTAAACAGTTACTAGGAGAATTGAAGTTTGGAGGAATCAGTCAAATAAAACTTGTATGCACTAATTAAAGTGCTCTTTATATTGCATCAAATTTGGTGTTCCATGAGAGAACTAAACACATCGAGATCGTCTGTCACCTTATCAGATAAAAGATGCTCTCGGGAGACATTGATATGAAATTCGTGAAGTCAAATGCTCAGCTTGCATATATTCTCGCCAAATCCTTCACTAGTCATCATATCAGCTTTATTTGGAATAAGCTTGGTACATATGATTTAATGCACCAGCTTGGGAGGGAGTGTTAGAATCTTATAAGTATTTATTAGAATCTTGTAGAAATTCTAGGATCCTTTAATCAGATAATTTGATTTTCTTTCCTTTCTTAGGACATGTATACTTATTTATTTAACCCCCAATAGCTTGAGGGAATAATCAAGCTGAATTGCTGTCAATTCCTTCTTCCTTGTATTGTTTCTCGCAATTATTAATTAAAATATACAACTGCTATTTGGATGCATATAAAGACAAACAGATGTCTTAACATTCCGCACCTTGTAGAAACAACTAGCTCCAAATTGGCAGGTCCCGTTGCCAAAGTCAAAATTCTTGCAGTCAATAGACCTGAAATCAAAGATTGACAGAAAAAGTTACTTCAGAGGAAAAATACACTATAATTTCACTTCTAAACTTTCTTTTGCCGGAAGAAGGGGAAGGGGAAAGCATTTTATAGATACACAAGTTTGAGGCAACACTGAGATACACCCTGCATCCCGAACTACTTTGATCTGAAAATTAAAAATCAAAAAATATTGCGTGATAACTGATATCCATATACTTACTTTTAACAATCCGAAAAGAAATAAAAACTGCGCCGCCATTTAATGACGGATGGACATTTTATAAATAAGATCTCCCACAAAGTATAAAAGCTAATTTTTCAATTCAGACTACCACCAATAAACAAGTGTTATCCTGAAATAGAATACCATCCTAGTGAAGATATTCAACATATACTCTTACAAAACTTACATAACATGATTGAAATTAGTATATGATATCTTAATACATGAGTTAAAAAATCATTTCAGAAACTGTTGTCTGTCATTTTGGGACAAGTCACATCCATACTAATAGCTCTTAAAGCTATTCGAGTTCAGAATCCAAAGGGATAACATAGTTAAAATAAATAGGAAGAGGAGAATCAGAGGAACCTGAGTTTTGCTTTATAGCTGTTAATGATTTCTTGCTTTTCTTCTTTTGTTGAGTACCAAATGACACTTGGAATTACAAAATATGAAAGCTTTCGGCATACAGGACAGGCCCTCAAAGTAGAATTGACATTCATCCCAATTGAAGGAGAACTGCTGCGCCAATTCCTGATACACGATATACAAAATGGATGATCACACTCAGAAAGTATCCCAAATTTCCGCTCGGCCATAATTGTCTTAGAAAGAACACGCTCAAGGCACACACCGCACTCTATCTCCTGACTATGCTTCAATAAATCAAGCTGATTTTCCCTCGTTTCACATGTTTTCATATGCTCCTCTTTTTTCCCTTGTGGACAATTACTAGCAGTAGAGGAAGAGCAAATTGACTGATCAGTTGCATTAACTCTCTTCAACTCAACAATGTTAGCTGATGAAGATGGAAGTGAAGGTTGTGATCGAGTAATTTTAACATGTTCGTATCTACACCTGCTGCCAAAGGCACAAATTCCTTTTTGGTAATATGTGCACACCTGCAACAATAGATCAGGTAAAATCAATTAGATGATGAAGAAGAAAATCAAAGCTTTACACTCTAACCAAAATCTCCAGAACATTACATTATTTGGAACATCTTCCGAATCATGCAAGAAATCACAGTGCTCTCCTTTTAGACATGCTCCACGTGCAAAGAACTTGCAAAGAACCCTGGAAAAGATTTTCGAAAAACGCATATGAGTGTATATGACTATCTACGAGAGAAACTAATTCATTTAGGATTAACAATCAACTTCGCCAATCCCAACAACTACAATGTATTGTATAGACAGTACAATGATAATGATCTGGAAATGCTAGAATGAAAGATTTTACTTATACAGCAGGCAATTCATTTCTTTTCTGTTATAGTGGCCGTAAACATCATAAAATAAACAATTAGTTTAAAAAACCATTTCACGATCAATAACTCGGGTGATGTTTGGTTGAGAGTAGGAGAGAAATAATCCCCACATAAAATTTAACATTTAACATAGTTAATACAACGTTTACTTGTTTAGTTTCACTTTTCCTTTCCTCATCAATCATTGCATCATTTTAACCATGTTTGGTTCATTTTTTTCTTTTACGCATAAGTTATGCGGGATAAAATGTGGAATAAGAATGGGGAATAAGCAATACATTGATTAAAACTATTAGATGAAAAAATAATCCTTAATGTTCTAACCAATGTTTTACAACAACAACAAACCTAATATAATCCCACAAGTGAGGTCTGGGGAGTATAGTGTGTACACAACCCTTGACTTGTGAAGGTAGAGAGACTGTTTCCCATAAACTCTAAGCTCAAGCAAAGCACTTTTAACCAATGTTTTATTTCGTTAAAAATAACAACTTTTAAAATACACATAGTATCATAATTTTTAACAGAACAAAGCAAACATCCAATATTAAATAATCCCTACATTATAAACCATCTCAAATGAACGACTAAAGCTCCTTAACGGCATTTTCAGTGACAAGTTTCTGAAGTCCCATCACAAACAGACAAAGCTAGGCACCACAACAAAGTTTCAAAAAGAGTTAAAAGAGAGATTACTAAAGCATGTAATTTAAAGATAAATCATCCGTAACAAAGAGAGGGCGAGTAAGGCATCGTCAACTAAATTCCAATGCTCTAAAAACTTAAAAGAAAACCTACTTCAGAACTAACAAGTGATTTTGGAGAAGTAAAGCAGTGTAGTTTAAAGGAAAAACAATAAAAATAACAAGTTCTACTGCTTGAGAATTTTAAAATCCAATCCTTCAAACCTAATGCTACAATTTTTCACCTTTTCGACATGGCTTCGACCTTCGATTGAGATTTGAAACCCTAACAGGGCACAGTTGATGAATTGAGAAGTCAGTTCAGCGGACTGTAGTCTAGGGCTTGTGGCGGTTTCTATGTTGTTCAAACATTACTGGTCTCTGTTCTATTTTATATCTTATTAATAATTAATTAATTAATCATTGGGTTAATTACGTTAAACAACTTATAAATATGACTCAATTTCTATACACACCCTATATTTTAACTGACTTTTGGACATAGATTTAGTTGAAACTTAAAAAAAAAATTAAAGTTGTATTGAAAAATAATTTTTGAAAATAAAAGTTGTGCATTTTACTTGAAAATTTTGAATTTTGTGAGTGGACGAATAATTTTCACCTGGTCAGTTTTCGGAACTTGAAAATTTTTCTTCAAATTTTTTTTCAAGAATTGATCAAATTCCATGAATAAATAGTCTTTCAATTTTTATTTTATTATTTTGGAAAAAATAGCCAAAATCTATATCCAAACTGGAGCTAATAGAATCAAATACTTACACTCCCTATGCAATGAAAATTCTACACGTACACCCCTTATGAGGTATATCCATAATTTAAAAAATTAAAATATAATTTAAAATTATAAAGCAACATGTTTCACGCATTTATTTTCATAAAATTTAAAAGAAGATAAAGTTTCAATTTGTGTATAATTTTTATTATACAAGACGTTTAAATATTTTTAGAAGATAGGGATAGTATCATTATATTGAAGAGTTTCAAAAGATAAAAATATTTGCCAAATAAAATTCTAGTAATTTGAACACTTCTTTATAATATTACAAGTAGCTATTTGATTAACCGTCTTAAGTAAAGAATTTTGAAACATTTGAATTTTTTCATTTTTTGAGTTGGGGTCGAGGTCGTGGTTAGGGCCGGGACGAGGTGAGGTGACGGGGGGAGGGGGTCGTGCTCAGGGTCAAGGTCAGAGTTGCGGGCGAGCCCCAAGTCGGTCAAGGTCGGGTATCGGGGTCGAGGGTCGGTGTTTGAGTATAGGGTAAGAGTTGGGGGTCGAGTGTAAGGGTCGATGGTCGATGGTCAAAATTCCACAATCGTGGGCAAGTGTCCGGTGTCGAGGTCAGGGTTGAGGGTCCTGACTCCCGACAATGTCCCCTCAACCTCAAACTCGACATCGAACCTCGACCTCAACCTCGATCCCGGACCCTGACCCCAGACCTAGAAACCCAACCTCGGACCCCAAACCTAGACCATTCGACCCTTGATCTCAGATCTCGATTACGACTACGAACTCTATACCTTGACCTTTGACTTTAGACCTCGGACAAACTCTGAACCACAAAATGTGTCCCCATAACATTTGAGTTCGTGTTTCAGATCCCAAAGTTCGAGAGCGAGCGTGGGACCGGTGTTGAGAGTTTATGGGTCGAGGGGAAGGGGAAGGGGGTGGGACAGAGGCGGGGAAGTGAGCCAGGGAAAGGGGTGACTATTAGGCCAAGGGCAAAGTCGTTGTATAGGGAGGGGGAGGTTGGCCGGAGCGGGGGTACTGTGGTAGGGTGACAGGGTTGTGAGGATGTAGGTTAGGGGTCTAGGATATGGGTGGTGAGGGTGTGGATCTGGGGGTGAGGATAGGGCGGTAAAGATTAAAAGATAGTGTTGAAATTTTTTTAATTTTAGTAGGGATGGAGAAAACTGAATTCACAAATAAAATATTTTTTAAAATATTTAAGCCAACTAAATACGAAAGAATTGAAAAATATTTTCTAGAGGGTTCTTACTTAATTATGTTATGATGTCCTTGTAAACCTTGGTAACTGATTAATGCATAATGGAACTCAAGAGTAGAGACACGATTGGAGACGAGGGAATTCAAGAAATGCTAAAATGTTTATTTATATATAATAGTTGAACCCATGACCTAAAATATTTTATAAATTATTTTGTCATTATGCTAGAACGAGAAGCTTTTTTTGTGTTAATGGATTCAACTATTAACATATATTTATGTAAAAATTCAATTCACCTATGCAGTCTATAATTTTCTAACAAAAGAGATTTAATTAATCATTTTCGGTCAATTTGGCTCCGCCACTAATGGAGAATTGGAGATATCACTTCTGCCACCGCACAACATATTAATAAAACAAGCATGGGTGAATTGAGTGTTTTAGTATTTTTCAAGCTTTTTGCAGATTAGAACTAATTTTCAAATACTTAAAGTTGTAGCAACTAATCCGTGAAATTCAACCAGGGGCGGTTCGACACTATATGGGGCCTTAGGCGAAAATAAGAAGTGAGGCCTTAAATTTTTTAATTTTTTTAAGTCTTCAACTTTTCTTTTCTTTTGGATTTTTTGAATAACCGGATGCATATTTTCTTGTTAACATATTTATATTCTAAAAAAATAAACAATATGTATGGAGTAAAATTAATAAAATAATAACTAACAAATGAGAATAATACTAGAAAGTTAAAATGATATTACCCAATGACTGACTGATTCAAGAAGTTTGAAGACTTTGATTCCAAAGTATCTAGTTGTTGGTTTGTTGGAGTCTTGGAGAAAGAAAGAAATCTAGTAGAAAGAACGTGAGCATGAATAAAGAGGAAGGAAGAAGAGTATGTCTCATATATGGAATATGAAGAATGAAATGAAATTGAAACGTTGTGATTACTTGGGAAGAAGAGTAAAAAGTAGAATTATCAAATCAAATCAAATTGAAAACCATTTTCTACTATTTTAAGCTTTATTTTATTAATATATCTAAAAGTTTTTTTTTCTTTTTATATGAAAAGTAAAAAAGTAACATATATATATATATATATATATATATATTATAAAACCTATAAACCTATAAAATATATATTATTTCTAAAAAAATGAGGCCTCCCAAAATTGGGGGCCTAAAGCCCTTGCATTACCCTATACACTATTAGAGCCGACCTGAATCCAACTTAGAATACATACAAAATTGAAGCAGATAATTAATATAGTTAAAGGCAACAATCTCTCTCTCTATATATATAGGGCCAAAGAACAAAAAAGGTCCAAAAATATCCCTAAACTATGGTATATAACTCACTTATATCCTCTGTTAGTAAACTGGGCCAAAAAAATCTTTCCCGTTAGCAAAATGGGTCACTAATGCTTTCAACCTAATGGCTCATTCCTATCAGCACTTTGTATCCTACATGGCATCCACATAAACCATGACATGGCAGCCACATAAGCGGACCATTTCATAAACCTGCTCAAGTTCCAAATACGCGGATTCCAAATATCAACGCGAAGGCAAAAGACTCTCATTTCCAAAAAAAAAACCCAAGTTCCTCCATGTCTGTTCTTCCATGGCGATTTGAGAGGCGAGGGGGTGACAAAATCGAGCAAGGTTTAACAACACAAATTGAAGATCATTTGAAGATATTCGGGTAATTTTCCCTTCTATTTATTGGGTCTCTATCTCGAACTTCAATTTATTTATTTTTTGTAATTTTCTAAGGTTTTGTCTGGTATTTCTGATCCTGGCTCCTAGTGTATAGTGTTTACATGTGGGTCTTGTACTCTTTTTGTTTGTTATCTTTGTTGTTTCCTTATGTGGTGTCAATTTGTGCCCTAGGTGTACATCGTTTTTGGCTGCAAGTGTTCTTTTCACATTTTTTATCATAGTGTGGTAAAGGTTGGGTTGTTGAAATTGACAGAATCATGTGCGTTTCTTCTTAAAGACAGTGTTTTATTTTTGCTTTCCACTGTGGTTTGAAATCGACAAAACATGTGCTTTATGGATTTCTAAATGCATAAAGGTTACAACATTGTAGAGCATGCTGTCAAGTGTGCAGGACCAACAATTTTATGTTAGTGCTGTTATTTAGCCTAAAGCAGGGTTTCTAAGTGATAAAACAATGTCAAGCGAGATGCTGAAATAGTAAACCTAGGAACATGATATCTAATGCATGACATGCTTGGAATATATTGGTCCTAAACATGGATTCTAATGTACATATGGGAAATGTAAACCTAAAGCATGGTTTCTACCCATTGATATTGATAACATATATGACTACTGTAGACATGTAATTTTTGACCCTCCCCAAGATTTTTCATATTTTAGCACGTAAATATTTAATTTAGGCTTAATATAGCTATTTCAACTAATTTTTACTCTTTTACTTTATTTTTATTACGAGAAAAATGAAAATTACCAAAAAAACAATAGTTTCATTAATGTGTTGTAGTCATTTTTAATCTTGAAAAATACCAAAAAATAGTTTATTTTAACGGTCAATCTTATTTTAATAGTTATTTTATTTAAGTAGGACTAATTAATAAATGATGTCGTATTATTAGGCTCGTTCGCGAAAAGAATAAAAACTTGGGCTCGAACGCCCATTTTTAGGCCTAATTTTGGACCTAACCCATAATTCTCAAGCCCATAATTCTTAGGCTCATGCCCCTAACCTAATTCCTACACCTACACCTAAAAACCTTAGGCTGAACATTCATGGAATCCGCCGCTGAACACATCTGAAGGACACCCTCCCCATCCATCTTAAAAAGAAGCAGCCATTTCGATGGCTTTTTGTTAACAAAAAACAACGCACCCCCCATCTGTTTCTTCAACCCTTAAGGCAACCAAAAACATCTACATACACAACAACCTCCATCTTTCTTCGATAACACCAAGGAAAAGCAAGTTTTGTCCTTCTTCTCCATCTTTATACATCTTTGTTTACACGAAGACTTACTATGTAAACCCCCATGTAACACCAGTCCATTACCACCCATAAATCACATTTTCCTCTATTAAAATCACCATGTAAACTCACCTAAAATAGCAAAAACGCAACTGAACAAAACAGCCTCAAAACAGTGCAAGTCCTAGCCAAAAATACATTCAAAACACTGCTGAAAAGCAGCCATTAAAGGAGCTTCAACACCCACGAAACCATCCACAAAACAGCTTCGAAATAGCTCCGGAATACGGAAAAACAGTAGCTATATTCCAGCCATCGAACCAGCAGCAGAACCAGCTGCAAACACTTCCGAAATCACTAAATCGGAGGTTCCGTCGAGGTCGTCGCTGTTGGTTCCAGTCGTAGTCATCATTGTTGTTTTGATCATTGCTTTG